TTTAGTATAAACCCCTTGAAGTGGACAGCTGGTTCACAGTTCATGTACGTGTTTACTCATCAGATTGTGCTCTGGAAAGACTGTTCCAAGTTCTATGCTTGCTAACGATGCCTGCAGGTGCACATGACCAGAACTTGTTGGTGAGACATGATAGATGCAGGAGCACATTTATTTTTAACCTTTGTTTTAGGACCAAGAACAAAAGCTATATACTAGAGGGCAAACAATTCACTACCCAAAAGTTCTGATGCCGCAATATGAGCCAAGTTTACATCCTGCCTTCCTGAGTAGGACAGTATAAAAGCAGTTGATGTATTTTTCTTGAAGGTGACCCAAACAGCAGTCTTGTAGACAGTCTATGGAAAAAGATGTGTATAATAGCACAACATCACTCTAACCAGTTTAATGTGGATATATTATGTAGTGTAACTTTGGAGTTTACCTTTCATATTTTATCTTTGAAAATGGCATCCTTTAAACATGGTGCACATGTTCAGTCTTGATTTAGCGTTAGGATTATTTACCGTTAGCTGGCTTTTGTGGTTGGATAACTCAGTAGTTTTTGGGGACCTGGATATCAGAATGCTTTTATAATGCATATGGACATGATCTAGGAAAAGAACAGAAATAAAAAGATGGTTAACTGTTAGTCAGCTTTTTGTCACTGTGACAAAATACGTTGAAAGGAGAAAAGATTCAGTATGGCTCATGTTTTCAGAGATTTCAGCCCATGGTCAGCTGGCTCCATCCTTCCTGGGCCTGGGGTGAGGCAGAAACATTACTGCAGAAGTGTGGGGTGGAGAAAAGCTAGGTGCCGCGTGGCAACCTGGAGGCAGAAAGGATGAGCGGCTGTGTAAGGCTCCTCCTCCTCCTCCTCCTGTTTTTGTTCCACTGAATTCCTACCCTGTTGCGTGGTGCTACCTGCATTCAGGACGCATCTTCCTCCTGCATTTGTTGTCCTGCATGCGAATTGTCTCAGGAGAAACTCTTAGACACACCCGGAAGTGTGCTTTACCAGTTGCATACATGTTTCTTAATTCAGCCAAGTTTATAATCAGTATTAAGCAGCACATTACTTACTGTAAAAGCTTGATATCTATACTTGAAATGAAGTTATAATTTTATTATAGAAAATTTCAATTAAAATGTTTGTGTTTAATTTAGTGGAAAATTCAGGCAACCCAAATCCTACCCTGGGTTAAATTAAATTCCTGCCTGGCAATCTTTTCTTCTTTTCTTCTTAAAAATCATAAAACATAACCTGTGTAGAAAAGTATATAAAATAAGCATACAATTCATCAAAAACTTCAGATGAAGAGTAGCAATCTATCAAAAAATAAGGTATATAATTTTTAATTTTCACTTTTTTTTTTTTTTTTATTGAACTCAGGACCTTGTGCTTGCCATGCAGGTGCTTAAGCCGCTGAGCTCTATCCCCAGCAAATTTTCACTTTTCCTTGAAATAATTCTCTCTTATGAGAAAAGTAATAGCGCCACACCTGAATGACCAGGGGAGAGTGGAAGCCAGGCTGGGGTAGGACTCGGGGGCTGTGTGTGTGTGTGTGTGTGTGTGTGTGCGCAAGAGAGCACACTATTCTCTTGCAAGAAAGGAAAAAAGAAATTGGGGCAGTGTGTGTTCACTTGTATTGAAGGGGCTTGTAATAATTCCTATGTACTGGTAGCTCAGTGGAATCTCATTACAAAGCAAGATATTCAAGAGAGCAAATACTTGATAAGTTGAATTTAAAAGATCTGAAGTGACTCCTGTTATGTCATATTCTCTGTTGTCTTTGTGCATTGTGCATTATCCATAATATTTTTTCTTTGCTTAAACAGATTGCTGAACTAGATGAAATAGAATACATTGAAAATCTTCCTATTCTTCGAATTCTCAATCTTCTGAGAAATCCAGTTCAGGTGAGAGTAATCATTTCTATATCTGGGCAAGGGAAAGAGAGGATAATGATTCCAGATTTTGTCTTCAAGAAGTATTTTTGATAAGCAACATCAAGAATTTGAATAGAGATTTTTAAAAATTTGTATTCTCTGTCCTTTAGGAATCAACTAGAAGAATTAAGTAGCCTGAAACATCTTGGTTTTCAAGAAATCAGATGTTCTTTGTGACTAGCAAGCTATGATGTAGCACCACTGTCAGAGTAAAGCCTAAAGTTCAATGTCATTTATCTGCTCTGTGTGGTCATTGAGGACTCATCTCAGCTGGCGCTAAAGATGACAGGAGGGAGCTAGTGAGACTGTAGAGCAGTGTTTCTTCACAGTAGAGAATACAAGACCATAGAGGTGTAGACAGAATATGGTATTTATTTTACAACAGAGGAAAGAATGAACGTATATGATTAGATACCTAACATAATTTACCTAGATATAGCCATGACATTGGTGATTGGCTTAATTGTAAAACATGTACTTATAAAGCCAAGTTATATACAATCTACATCAGCAGTGGTGGTGAATCTTATGTCCTGTGCATTGATTCTCTTTTAAGACAAAAGATGTTAATGTATGACTTATATTTTCTAAACTGAAACCTCAGTATTCAGGTTTAATTGAAGTGTTGGCACTTTGCGATAAATAAGTGGGTTTTGGGTTGCAGTTTGGGCTCTTCTCTCTAAAACGTTCATTATCACTGTCTTAGGGGTTTTTAACCTCTGATTTAAGCTGCAGGGACATTTTTCCAAGTTTCTCTGTTTTTCTCTATTGATAAATCCATTCTTCTTGGCCTCCTTCTTTCTCTCTTTGTCTGTCTTAGTTAGTTATGTTTCTCATTTCTGAGACAAAGTACCCAGCACTCAAAGTTAAAGCAGGAAAGGTTTATTATAGCTCACCATGTATAGAGGTTTTAGTTCATAGTTGGCTAGCTCCAAGGCAGAGTGGCCTGGCAGAGGGGCATCTCAGAGAGAGGCAGTTCATGGAGGACAGAAGGTGGCAAAACAGCAAAGTAGCAAGCACCAAATTACAACCGCAGCTGTCTTTCTGTCCCTTAGGGCAGGTAGCACTCATGCACACAGTGGGGCACCCTGAATTCTGGCATTGCACCATGAAGTGAACCCAGCATTACGTTGTTAACCTCAGCCTCACACACCCTGGATCCCAGATCCAGCCTCCTCTGAAAAGCCCCACTTACGACCATATGAAGTTTTGGGAGGATGTCTAGCTACAAATCAGAGCATCGTTTATCCTTCGCTCCATTTCTCCTCCTGTATCCTTCCATAGACTCTTGTCTGTATATTCTTCATTACCTTTCTGTATATCTTGATTCCAGATAGGAAAAAGATTCAGAAATAAAAATGGCTGGTATGGGAATAGTGGCAGACAATTTCAAGCATCTTTAGAAGTTAAGGAACAGGGCTAAATGGCCTCACCACGTCCCAGTGTCCGGCCCATGGAAAGTGTTCACACACCTATGTGAACCACCAAGCCTTTGCTTGTACATTAACACATCACATATGAAGTCTCCTTCAGCACTTACATGTGGTAGTGCATAAACTTTAACAAGTTAAATTCATGCGTACTAACTGTATAGAGTCATGGGTGTGGTATGATCACATAATACATGTGTATAGTGTGTAATAATGAGATTAGGGTATTTAGCATCTCTGCATCCTTATTTCTTTGAGTTGGGAACTTAGATTAAAATACATATATTTGTCTCAGTTAGATTCTCATGTGTGAAAGGGCATATCCACTAAAATCTTACCCTTCTAGGAGATGTAGCTTCTACACTTGATCTTAGCCAAAAGGCTGAGAAGCAGTGAGAGATGTAGCTTCTTAGTTAAAAAAAAAATAGCTTTAAAAGACAGATAACCCTAATTCAGCAGATGGTAGGGAATAATAAAGTATTTGTTATACAAATAAATATGCTTTTATTGTAAGAGAGATTCATAGTGAATTATACAAATTAATACAAAAGAATAAAAAAATAATAAATAATAAATTCTCATCATTACAAGAATAAAACTCTATGACAGTAAAAGTCAGGGTTTGAGTTCCTGTCCTTGGAGCTTAGACAGGAGATGCTTCCTGTTTCTGAGGCTTAGTTTTTCTCTTTAGAAATGACAATAATCCTGCCTACTCTGCTCAACTCATAGTAAGATTAGTGAGATATGCACATTTGAAGAGCTGTCTAGATTCCAAGGCACAGTTTGCATCTGAGTTGTTAATTTAAGGGGAGAGGTAAGCATGAAGATGTAGAGACCTAGGAGGAGTGTGGGGATGGCAGGGTAGCAGTGGAAGGCCGAGCTTATGAGAACAGTGTGCTGGTGCTTGGGAACTTGGAAAAGGGAGGCAACTGAATATTCTTCTTGATATTTTAAACAGGAGAAATCTGAGTACTGGCTCTTTGTAATATTTATGCTACTGCGATTAACAGAATTAGATAAGAAGAAAATTAAAGTGGAAGAAAAGGTATGCAATCATGTCATTTCATGTGTTTATGGATTGATATGCTCAAAAATTTATACTGCCTGCTGTGGGACCAATATAATCAGTGAACAAGATGCATGCCAATATATAAATGCATTCTTTATTTGGGGACTTGTTCTTTGTCATAGGCTAGCATCTCAGTTGAGCCTCCTGCAAAGCTGGACACCTAACTGGGTGTGGTGATGCACATCTGTAATTCCAGCACTCTGAGAAGTTGAGACAGGAGGGTCCTAAGTTTGAGCCTAGTCTAGGCAATTTACCCTGTCTCAATAAAGAAAAAGCAGGGCTGGTGAAGTAGCTCACCAGACTAGGTTCCTGCTTAGGCAAGCACAGGTATTGGGGTTTGCTCCCTGGCACCACATGCTGCACTGGCCCTGCCTCTGGGTGTGCTGAGCTAGCCACCGAGACCAGGCATGGTGGCACACACCTGTAATCCCAATGCTGGGGAGGCTGAGACAGGAGAATCACTACAAGTCTAATCTGCAAAGTGAAACCCTGTACCAAATACATTAAATAAATAAATCTCTCTTTTTTAAAAAAGGAAGGGAGGGAAGGACAGACTAGAGATGTAATTCAGTCCAAAGGTCCTGGGTTTAATCCCCAGTAACACACACACACACACACACACACACACACACACACACAGCATTGGCATCAACACAGATGCAGTGGAAGGCCTGCTGTTGGCACAGTGGAAAACTTGAAAGTAAGGAACGAGACCAATATTTTTTTTTATCCTATTCCTAGGTCATGTTGTGACAGATTAGCAGTTTGGATGACTGTCTTATGCAGAGGGTATATGATTCTGTATTATTTTAAAAACTCATTTAACAATAAAATATAATGTCTTTCATTCTACCATATAATGTAAAGGCACATAAATAAGAAACTACTCTGATATTTTGAATCCTTTAATTTTGCCCTTTAAAATAATGATCATTTTGGTCGCATAATTTCAGAGTAACCAGATCTTGAATGTTAGGATCCACCTCTCTCCCTATAGTGGAGATAGCTGCTTTGTTGTCCCTCAGTGGCTGGTTACAGCTGAAATCCCAACTGATGAGGGATTTTTTTTACACTGGATATAATTTTGAGGTAGAAATCAAAACAAGTGTAAATATGTATAAGAGCTCATATTCTATCTCTTGGATGCCTTTCTGCACTTTTGGGTAAAAGTAGACAAAGGTGCTTCCTTACTACTTTCTGTACACTCAAAGGTACTTAGGTCTTTCTTTTCCTTCAACATTTTGCAAAGTAAATAAGCGTTAAACCATATATTAAGGAAAAGTGTGGTAGTTTAAGATAGTGTGTTTAGGAGGCTGACAAAGAAAGAGAAAGAACTACATATTATGAAGAAAAGACCTCTAAAGCTGTGATAACAAATATAGCACATATTTATAACTCAAAAAATTATTAAAATAAGAGATATATTGCCATGAATCCTCCTAGGTATACTTCACTTCAAAAGCACCTCATCATTCTTGTCACTTTCTGAAGTAGTTCTGGAAGTCCTGTTTCATGAATGGCTTTAGTTGTGTCATCGTGGTTGTCCTGTTCCCTGAATCAGCTCAAAATGCTTGCTTTTCTTGATCATTTTGATATTGTGGAAGAGCCAGCAGTCACGTGGTAGCAAATCTGATGAATAAAGTGGGTGAGGGCACACTAAGCCACTTTCACTTGAACATTCATCGTATGTTTTAATCTTACTTTATATCCTTGACGAGAAAAAGTTAAGCTAAAAGAAGAAGTTTGGGTAGGATGCAAAATCATGGGAATGATTCTTGGTGAAATGGTATGAGAGAAGAATTCCCCGGGACCAACCACCTAAAATCTGATAAATTTTACTCCTCCTTCCACTATAAATTGGAATGTTTGCTCTATTAAAAGTAACCATGAACTTCAGGATTTCTTTTCCCCCTTTCCTCTTTCAAATAAGGGAATATAAAGAAGTAAGGAATCAGAAGACACCACTCGATATTTTGAAATAATTATCATTATTTCGTTTTTAAGAAAGTTGGAGTTGATGTGAAGCCTGAATACAAAGTCTCATGGTTATACGTTAAATTATTTTGTATGCCTGGCTTGTCTTCACATTTCATTAAAGAAAACGTAAACATTGTCTTCTTTTTAGAAACAAATCATTTTTCCCTTTTACTCTTCTAATTCTGGAAAAGGTGACAGCAGTGAATAAATACGACCCTCCGCCTGAAGTGGTCGCCGCCCAAGATCACCTGACTCACGTCCTCAACAGCGTTATGCAGCCACAGAGGATCTTTGACAGGTATGCGTTATTACTTCATGGGGTAAGCCCAGCGGAGCAAGCGAGAAGACCCTCATCATTTTCGTTAGCCCCCTATTTTGTGTTCTTTAGCCTCCTATACATGCTACTTCTGGGGGGTGGGATCTTTATTTGGAAGATGGGTTGTCTCAGTCCTGGCATGTTATTGTATACTTGAGTGTGCTGCTTCCTCGCTCTTTGGTTGGTGTTTTCTCAAGTGTGGTGCCGAGCTGATTGATCTTCATTCTTTCATCTGGCCACCTTGTGTGTTTCCTAGTCAGAGCCATATGACAGTGAAATCTTTAAAAAAGTTTGTCAACTTTTCTACATTAGAAAATTATCACAGACAAGCTCATTAACAGAAAGTTGTGATCATTCATATCCATTATAAATCTTCCCTTGGGTGTGAAAGATGCTAAATACCCCAGCCAAAGAGCATCTTGTGAATTCAGATTATTAGGGAGTCTCTAGGAGGAAGCCCAGCTAGCCTCAGGGAAACCTGAAATAGTCACTGCACTGAGCTGCAATCAACCCAGCAGGGAGGGGTGGCCCAGCTTGGTTTGACACATGAATAGAGTCTCTCACCTCTAAATTTGAAGACAGATTTACCACGGTTTCTTCATTTCTTTTTAAACAATCTGTTGAAGCAGATGGCCATTTATGCTATAAATATAATGCAGAAATTCTATCAATACCCAAAGGCACTTTAAAAATACTTGTAAAACTCTTAGATATAAATGGCTTTTCTTCTTCATGTGGTATTCACTCCTGGTTTCCCACAGAGAGCAAAATGTTTTATTTTGCAACTCAGGACATGAGTTTTACATATAATTTAATAATGTAGACATTGACAGTTTTATATGTGTATGAGATCCCTCTAGGTGAAATGATTTATCATTTATTTGCATATATCTGGAAAAACACATTGATGTAAAAGAAGTATATTTATATCCTCATTGTATTTTGTTTTTAGTTTATAATATTGATATGTGTTTCATGCTTTAGGGTATATTTGTATAAAAACATGTACCTAAAATCTGTAGCAGTGTCTTTTTAAACGTGTATTTCTTGACTATTTCTGGCTGTCAAACAAGCAAGGGCCAACCTGGTTTGGGTGTTCAGAATGGAGCAGCATTCACAGTTCTAGATCAGTAGCTGGGCCTGAAGGTCCCATGTTCCCCTTCTGGGCCAGCCCACAGCTCTCTAGCAGCACCATAAGCCATGCTCCAGGAGTTGTTTTGACTGTTGACCTTGTGAAATCTATGTTGTGTTATTGGAAAATCACTGGTCCCTCTTTTGGCATGACTGGGGCTGGATGCCATCTTAAAATGACACAAACTTGGACTGGCCTGGTGGCCATTGATGGGTTCCTTGCTCTTCAGTATGACAGTCTTCCTCAAACTCAACTTGTATATGTTCTATCCCAAGTCTACAATTAGCTATTTCTCCACCAAGTACTGATTTTTGTGAGAAATGACACTTCCTAGTTTCAATCTGAGTGCTAACGATACTCAGTGCTGCTAAGTTGGTCATTGTTTTCAGGCCTTTTAGTGTTTTATCTTTCTTTTGTGTTTATCATCTAACCACCTACCTACCCACTAGACAGATACAGTCCTATCTCTACTTGTCTATGTATACTCCATCTAATTACTTCTCTATGTCTATCTAGATAGATCTACCTAGCACACTGGGTTCATGAATTTGCCTATCCCATATATTGTACCAACCATCCCTTTTTAAAAGTAATGTTCTATACTTTTATTGTCAAAACATATATGCATCACATATTGTACTTTCTTCTTTGTTCTCTTTTAGTCTTAGTTCTCATTAATCTAGGGCAATTGCA